AGCATAAATCAGAAGAGGTTGTAGGTGTGATCTTAACCTGTCACTAGGGACATTTAGGAAATATTACAGGTAGCTGTATGTGTTTTTCACTTGGAGGGACAGGTTATGAACAGTGAAATATCCTGTTTACCAAGCCAGTGCTGTGTTAAATCCACGTTTTCAAGAGATGCCTTGAGATGGAAATCGCGTTTCTGGATATGACTTTCCATTTCAAAGGCATAAAAAACATCTGAGAAAATGTAAATTAAAAAAAAAAAAAAAAGAAAAGCCTTGAATGGGGAAAGGTCAGCTGCACACAGTTTGTTGTGGCTGTGTGTAATCCTCGCAGTGGCATCTGTTCCCTGTTATTGTTATAAAAATGTGACTTCATTAGGTTTGGGATGAATCACGGGCTGGGGAGCGCTGCTGGAGCTGGCTGCAGCGGGCTCAGCCTGTCAGGGTGCATATGCTGGGAGTCTGGCTGGGCCAGGCAGCCCTCCAGGAGCACACGGCCCTGGGGGATGCAGGATGGAGCCTTTCTGCTCCTCAGCCCTGCTTGGACCAGCTAGGAGTGAATTTCGGCACCGGCTGAGCTGCCTGGGCTCTGAGTCACAGGGTGGCTGTGTCTCACCCAGCTCAGGGGCACACCAGTGACAGCCCTGCCTGCCTCGCTGCTTTGGCACAGAGAGGCACAGCTGGGCTGGGGGGGTGAGAAATGGACGGCCTTCCTCCCCTGGAAGGAGGAGGCAGAAGGGCTTGAGCATCAGCTGCCGCAGCTGGCTGTGCTCAGGGCTGGAAGGGCTGCGGCCACATGGCCCCAGTCTGCGTGGGCTTGGGGATGTGGGGCTTGGGGAAGCACAGGGAGCTCCTTGTGCAGCTCCTGCCTCAGCAGAGAGCTCCAATTCTCTTTTCCCAGTTCCTGGCTCAGCAGAGAGCTCCAATTCCTCTTTTCCCAGTTCCTACCTCAGCAGAGAGCTCCAATTCCTCTTTTCCCAGTTCCTACCTCAGCAGAGAGCCCCAATTCCTCTTTTCCCAGTTCCTACCTCAGCAGAGAGCTCCAATTCCTCTTTTCCCAGTTCCTGGCTCAGCAGAGAGCCCCAATTCCTCTTTTCCCAGTTCCTGGCTCGGCAGAGAGCTCCAATTCCTCTTTTCCCAGTTCCTACCTCAGCAGAGAGCCCCAATTCCTCTTTTCCCAGTTCCTTCCTCAGCAGAGAGCTCCAATTCCTCTTTTCCCAGTTCCCACCTCAGCAGAGAGCTCCAATTCTCTTTTCCCAGTTCCTACCTCAGCAGAGAGCCCCAGTTCCTCTTTTCCCAGTTCCTCCCTCAGCAGAGAGCTCCAATTCCTTCTCACCCCCATTCCTGAAGGCTGAAAAATCCCTGCAGGACAGTCACTAAAATCTGCTTTTCTCAGAAGGTGCCGTCCCATCCCTTGAATTTCTCTGGCTCCCAATTATACCTTTATTTTTCCTGCTTCTTGCTGTTAAATTTTACTTTGAGCATTGCCTTTGAAATGTGTCTGATGGAGATTTGCAGTGGAAGTCACTTGTTGCTACCTTGATTGATTATTACCCAGCTCCTCCAAAGGGATAAACTCTGCTTTGGTGCTTCTGGAGCATGGATTTTGTCTTAATTGTGTGAGAAATCTGAGTAAATGGAATAAAAAGCTAATTATTACAGTACAAGGGATGTTTTTCCTGTCAAAATTGGAACATCCCTTGGGAAGAGATGTTCTTCCTGAGAAAAGCTCAGCCCTGGTGGCTTCACTCAGTGCCTGGGAAATCCTGAGCAGCCCTGAGCCAGGCACTGCAGGTCCAGGTGCTCCTGGCTCCCTCTGCAATATTTTTCTCATCATTCATGGAGAAGCAGTCTAGACCGGTGACATTTATCACGCTGGGGAAGATAGAAGTGATTTTTGAGGGCAACAAAGTTCAAAGACGTTGCTGTAAGTCTTCAGGATTAAAGATTTACTTGATGCATCTTCCCCTGTTTAATAGACAGGAGGAGATGAAAGGGAATTTCTATAAAGATTTTCGTTCATACTTAATGATGCCACTGTTAGATGAGCTTTGGCACAGTGTCCCGAGCCATGAAGCTTTAAAGCCAACCTTTTTTAAACATTAAATGACCTTTTTTAATCCTCCAGCTTTAATAAATAAAGATTAGTTCAGCCTCATTACCTCCCTAGTCCTGGGGGCTGGTTTAATATTTAGTTAAAGTAACCAGTCTCCCAAAATGAGCACATTTTGGTTTCCTAAATCCCACAGGGATTCCAGGGAGGCTGGAAACTCTTCTGGAATTTGATCTGGGTTCTGGAACAGCTGCTGCCACTTCCAGCCTGGATTCAGCTCTCCATCTGAATTCCTTTCTTTCCAAAACCTAGACTTTCCCCTTCCTCTTGTATTTGCTCCCAAAATTCAAATTTAATCACAGCTGAGTAGGTAAAAGAGTTTGCTCTTGTTATTTTCCTTTCCTTTCCTTTCCTTTCCTTTCCTTTCCTTTCCGAAAATTTTCAAGATTCTCAAAAATAACACTAGAAAATCCCATCCTGAACAGAAATTATAATAAGCTCTATGCAAACGTTTTTTTTTGCTTAGCTGGCTTGAGGAAACTATTCAAAATGCTTTGGTTTTGACTATTTTTATACTTAAAAATCACTTAACTGTGCATTAGTGGAAGTGGATTTTGTTTGAAAGGTGCCAATTAGGAAAACACTTGAAAACATTCCCCAATTTAGTGATTTTGAAGCTTTAAATTAGAAACTAATGAGTCTGTGAATGCTGACATCCACTCCCTCGCTGCTGATCTTTAATTTCACAGAGTCAGCACCTGAGCAGGAGCTGCATTTGGTGAAGTTCATCAGGCTCAGCACATGGATTTACCCTTCCCTGGGAGCAGGGCTGCAGGAGAAGTTTCTACATGAACTTTCTCCTCTGCTTCTCTCCTGGAAAAGTGGAGTTTGTGGCAAATGGTTCTCCCAGCTTTGTTCTAATTAAAAGAAGTCATCAGCCATGTTAATATTCTAAAACCCCTGCTCCTGGCCTTGGAGGAAAGCACAACTCTTTTTGTGGCATAATGAGATTAAAATAAACTCAATTTAACTCATAAAACTAGGAAAATAAAGGAAAAGAAGGAATTGTTGAGTATTTTCAGGATATGAAGTAAATCAGGCTGGTGTGGGAAAAGAGCCCTGAGAGGTGGGGGTTGAAATCAGACTGTGCTTTGAGTTTTGGGGCTGGGCCAAAGTCTTAGGAAAACCAAAGAAAAGGAGCCTGGGCTGCAGCCAGGGGGTCTGGGCTGTGCTGGGGGCTCCCTGGTGGCAGGGAAGGGTGATGGGAGCAATGAGGACCTTGAGGCACAGCCCAGATCCCTCTGTGGGTCCCTCAGTCCCACCTCCAGCTCAGCATCCCTGTGCTGCTCTGGGCCCAGCCAGCTCTGCCTTCCAAATCTGTGTCCTTTGTGCCTTGCTCTCAGGACTCAGGGTATCTCCCTAATGGGCTTTATTTCACTTCCCAGCTCCTTTATGCTTTTCCCCACCAAAAAAAAACAACCCCAAACCTGCTGCAGCACAAGGAGCTTCCTTCCTTCCTTCCTTCCTTCCTTCCTTCCTTCCTTCCTTCCTTCCTCCCTTCCTCCCTTCCTCCCTTCCTCCCTTCCTCCCTTCCTCCCTTCCTCCCTTCCCTTTCCCTCCCTTTTCCTTCTCTTTTCCAGGACAGGTTCCAAAGCTCCAGCAGGGCACCCTGCCTGCTCCAGGGAGTTCCCTTTTCCCTGCCATGACCCAGCAGAACCCCACTAATCCCTGCTCTGCTCCCAACACCTGACCCAGCCCCTGAGCAGTGCTGAAGAGCACCTCTCCCTGTTGAGGGATATTTTGGGGAGGGAAGATAAGAATTGGTATTTTTTTAATGCACGGAGCAAACAGCAGTGCTGATTTCCCCCAGGTGAAATGGAAAAGCTGCGTTCTGGGGGGCACCTCCTGTCAGCAAGGATAAACCCATTGAGGTGCCAGCTCCTCATGAAATTCTGGCCTGAATGCTCCACCCTTGAATCCTTTTTTCCTTCCCTCCCCACCTCCCTCTGCCTGCCACAGATCTGAGTGGGCAGCCCCAGCAGCTGAGTTCAAGAGCCAGGAGCATTCTGTTTGAAAAATATTTGTCCCTCCCCACCCAGGGCTGCCCACATTCTTCCTGAAATATTCCAGCCCCTCAGCACCCTATCAATGCTCCCACAAAGGGACCATCTCGGGGTTTTTGGGGACATTCTGCCTTTGTTAGGGTGTGAGGCAGAGCCTGGATGTGGGTTTGGGCAGCTGGATGTGCCTCTCTGGGAGCAGCCAGCCTGTGTGGCAGTGGGTGCTGGGAGCCTGGCAGCGTGGGTGGCTGTGCTGTGGCATTCCAGCAGGTAAAACAGAGATTTCTCTGCAGAGATTTCACCACCCACCTGTCTGGCAGGACCTGGGGAGTGGGAGAAGCAGCGGGAAAGGCCACGTGTGGGAAGGGGGATGTGCCAGCTCTGGTGGTGACAGGAGCACAAACAGAGCTCCTGCAGGGAGCAGGGAGTGTGGGTGATGTCTGGAGAGGCCACCTGGAGCAAAGGCTGGGCAGAGTTAAAGGATTAAAGCAGGGATTTATTCAAGGGCTTTCAAAGGACACACCTTGGGCAGTACAGGAGCCTGGCCAAGGCTACAACCAAGATGGACCCTGGGTCACGAGTTTTCACACTTTTATTAGTTTTAGTCCATTTCCGTATTGGGTTCATTGTCCAATTCCAGCTCCAGGTGGTGCAGTCCCACCCTCCCAGGTTGCTCTCCTCCATTCCCTGTTTGCACTTTTTGGGGCTGGAAAAGGATTGTTCTGTGTGACTGAGCTGCGAGGAGAGCTGCTGACACTTGATATGAAGTTCAGAGTTATAAATGCAGTGCAGAATGTGGAAAATATGAAAGTTAAACCTTGAGGCATCATGGGGATGGGGAGGGGAGTGGAGACCCCAAACCTAACCCGTGCCTACACCTTTTTCCCCCACAGCTGCCATCCTGGATGACCCCATGGAGTGCAGCAGAGGGGAGAGGCTCTCCATCACCCTGGCCAAGAACCGCATCAACCGCGCGCCCGAGCGGGCGGGCAAGGCCAGGGTGGAGGTGGACATCTTCGAGCTGCTGAGGGACAGCGAGTACGAGACAGCAGAGACCAGTGAGTACCACCCCAGGGATGCCTTGGGAAGGCTGAGCTACAGCAGAGGCTGGAGGAGTTAAAGAATAAAGCAGGGATTTATTAAAAGGATCTCCTCCATGGATGCACCTTGGGCAGCACAAGAGCCCAGCCAGGGCTGCACCCAAGATGAACCAAAATGGTCCCCAAATGAACCTAAGATGAATCAAAATGGTCCCAAAAGCAACCCAAGATGAACCAAAATGGTCCCAAAATGAACCCAAGATGAACCCAAATGGTCCCAAAATGCACGAGCGCTCATGGGGTCTCTCCCTGGGATCAGCTCTGCTCCATGTGCACATTGCAGTTCAGTGTCCAATTCCAGCTCAGCCCCTGCACTCCCATCCTGCTTGTTTTTCTCTCTCCAGCCCACGGGGTTTGTGCTCTTGGGCTGAGATTTGGATCATTTGTCCTTGGTGCCCAGCTGGAGCAGGAATTGTTTTGTGTCCCTGCTCTGTGCAGAGAGCTCCCCATCCCCTGATGTGAACCCAGACCCACACACTGAAGCAGCACAGAACCTGAAAAATAGAAAAGCTCAGACATGAGGCATCACCAGAGAGCCCAGCTCTCCTCCCAGGAGCCATCTGGCACTCTGAACTTGTGATTGTGTGGCCGTCAAAGGGGAACAGAGAGAAAAAACCCATCTCTGCTTCTTGCACAGAGCAGTTTTCATTCGAGGTGAATGAAGTGTGCCGGTGCAGGCTCAGGCATGGACTGAGAGGATCCCTGCCCCCAGTAAGCTTTGCCACCACTCAGTGACTTGGGACGAATAATTTCCTTTAATCTGCCTGTCAGTAAACAGGGGTAATGCTGATCCTTTGTCAAGAGTTTAATGTTGAGCAAACAAGAGACTCTCGGGCAAGTTGGGTGCAATTAAGTTGTTTTTAAAACCCTGTGGAATCCTGTGTGTCAGCAAACATAACAGCTCTTCCTGGAGCTTGAGATTGGCAGCAGATTTATTTACACCAAGTGAAGTTTCTCAAGTGATGTTTGAAATCATGAGGATGAAGAAGAGCTAATTTCCAAAGAGCAGCAGATTTTCCATGTCAGTTCCAAATCCCTGGATGAACCTGTTCTTTATTAGGGTTGTTCCTCTGGGTGCCCAATATGCCAGCTCTGTGCTGGTAAATAAAAAAGAAATTGATGGTCAGTGTCACAGAGTTTGAAAGGAACTCTGAAGGTCTCTGGTAGCTTTTTTTTTTTTTTTCCTGTAAGAGGGAAAACCCTTTGGAATAGGAAATATCCTCCTTTTAAAATAATTTTTAAGCCGACCTTTAGAGTTCAAGAGAGGGCTATAATTTTTTATTACCAGTTAGCTCGAGAAAGCTGGAGGAATAATTTTAAATAATACGGATTTTACACTCGTTTCCTAATGATTCTGCATTCCATGACTGTGTGATCTGCAGGCTATCCCCAAAAAGTGTGGCAGGGTGTTGTGCTTTGGGGCAGGCCGGTTTTTCCTGGAGTTTTGGTGGCTTTTCTGCCCAGCAGTGCTCAGGGATCTCCAGGTGAGCTGGCAGAGCAGCTCCGTGGGGCTGCACATCACTTCTTCATTTCCTGCACCAGCACTGGCACTATTTATAGAAGTGTGCAGTTAATAAAGAGATCTCAGCAAGAACCTGGGCTCTATTTATAGAGCCTGTCACCACTGATCCCAGCTCAGGGACCCAGCCCTTCTCCACTGCTTTGTTCCCTCCATTTTTAAACGTTTTCCTGCTCTTCCCCATCTCGGTTGTCCACTCTTCTCCCCTAACTTGGCACAGCATTAGGGCAGATCCAATTTAGCTGAGCAGACCAATTAAGATCCAATTTTTCTGGCCAGACCAATTAAGATCCAATTTAGCTGGCCAGACCTTGCAGAAAGGATGGGAATTGCCATGGAATCCCAGAATCCCAGACTGGAATTGGTTGGGAGGGATTTTAAGCTCATCCAGCTCCTTCCCAAGCTGTCCTTGGACACTTCCAGGGGTCCAGGGGTAGCCACAGTTTCTCTGAGTATCCAAAAGTGTCATTTTTAGCCCAATTTTTGATCCTTCCTCATCAATATCCTGCTTGCAGCAGCATTCCTGGCCTGTAGCTCTGTTTGGGGAACAGACTCGATTGCAGTGACCCCAGAGCTGCTGTAAGGATCACCAGAGGGATTTCTGCCTTATTTTCAGCCTGTGACACTGCTCAGGAATTCTTCTCCTGGAAGGTTTCTCCAGCAGAGGAATATTAATTGGCTGAGAATGAAATATTATGCAAGATATTGTTGGTTTCAGCAAATGTTGTGTTTGGGGAGAAACTGGAAACAGGGCAAATGAGGAAGAGACATCTCCCATTTCCAGTTTTCACCTTGGGGTGATTTTCTTTGTTTTCTTTACTTGGATTTTTAGAGTTGAAAATGCAGCAAATTGACTTGATTTTGGTAAATTTTGCAGTGTGTTATTTGCCTTTTCTTCGGTGGGAAAAAAAAATGTCTGGAAGCTTTTCTTAGGAAAGGAATAATCTGAATTCTGTATAGCTCTGCTATTAATGTCACTGATGTTATTCTTGATTTATCCTGGTGGCAGAGGAAAATCAGATTCCTGAACTTAAATTTCAAGGCTTTCATGGCTTTCAAATGCTTCAATACATTGCTGGTTTTTGTTATGACACACAATATTAATAAAAACTGTTGAGATGTTTTAACCTGTGACTGCAGAGCTGTTTACAGCTGTTTAATACTGTTCTCACATTTCACACTCTTTGATTCACTCTTAAATATCACAGCTGCATGCTTAGCTGACAGATCTGGGAGTGCTGGGATTACACCACATACTCCATATACAGGAAAAGAAAGAATTTTGGGGAGTAAGGTTTTTATTTGGGGAGGCAGGGTTTATTTTATTTTATCTTATATTTTATATTTTGTATTAATTTTTGTATATTATATTATATTGTATTACATTTATTAGATATTATGATATATTATTATATTATATTATATTATATTATATTATATTATATTATATTATATTATATTATATTATATTTTTTTCTGGAGCTGTTTTTCTCCCATTTTCCCTTCTGACTGACTCAGGTGTTTTAATGTAAGAGAGCCCCAAAATCTGAGCTGCTCCAGCAGATAAAATCCCAGTCAATCCATCACATTCATGCCTGGTTTGCTATTCCAACCTTATGAATGAACACAAACTTTGGCTGTTCCTGTGTGATTTTAAGGAGGTTTCAATGAGAAGTTTTGAGCAGAGCCTTTATTTTTTCTGCTTTTTCAATGAAAACCTGTTCTCTCTTTGTGTTTGATGTTCCAGCTCCTTTTGTGCAGCTCCAAAATGACTTGTTTAATCCTGTCTTTATCTCAACCACCTTGTTTCTTTTGATGTCGGGGCAGGACAGATTTCCATGCTTGTCACCCTGTCCCCTCTGGCCTCCTCAGCCTTTTAAGCTCCTCTTTGTTGTGAATCCAGTTTAAAGTAACCAGTCTCCCAAAATGAGCACATTTTGGTTTCCTAAATCCCACAGGGAGGCTGGAAACTCTTCTGGAATTTGATCTGGGTTCTGGAACTGTTGCTGCCGCTCCCAGCCTGGACCCAGCTCTCCATCTGAATTCCTTTCTTTCCAAATTCTGCACTTTTTCCCTTTTGTCTTGTATTTACTCCCAAAATTCAAATTTAATCACAGCTGAGTAGGTAAAAGAGTTTGCTGTTGTTATTTTGGGTCCCTTTCCCTTTCCCTTTCCCTTTCCCTTTCCCTTTCCCTTTCCCTTTCCCTTCCCTTCTTCACCTTCGGGGAAGTTTTCAAGATTCTCAAAAATAAGAATGGAAAGTCCAGGGCAGGTCAGGCAGCAGCTGGAGAATTGGAGATTTTGATTTCAAAGTGCCCTTCCAAAGGGTCCTTTCTGTGGTGTTGGCTCCAATGTGTTGTTTTTTACCTGTCCCACTGCTTTGGGGGATTTCAGCCTGCTCTGGTTATCAGGGAATCATGGAATGCCTGGGGTTAGAAGGGACCTTAAGGATCATTTTGTTCCACGCCTTGCCATGAGCAGGGACATTTTCCACTATCCCAGCTTGCTCCGAGCCCTGTCCAACCAGGCCTTGGACACATCCAGGGCATCCCCAGCCTCTCCAGACCTCTCTGGTGGCAGGTTCCTGTCAGGAAGCACAAGGGATGCTCCAGGAGCCTCTCTAGAACCCCTTTTCTTTAAACACTTGGTGTTTTCTCTCTGAGAATCCCGTGACCAGTCCCTGTCCCTGGAGATCTCGGCTGTGTTTTGCAATCAGGGAGCTCCTGAGGTGTTTCCACTCTTTCCCTGCTGATTTATTTTGAATTATAACAAGGAACCGTCTGTGCATTCTGTTTGAAACCCTGCTCAGGTATCTGTGTGCTCTGAATGAGAAGATTCTGCCCCAGGGGTGGATCCTCTCTCTGGAGGGACCTTTCAGCCCTGCTTTGAACAGGGCAGGATTCATGGAAATGTTTTCCTGGGATCTCAGGAAGTGAAAGACACTCTGGCCATGTCTGCAGGGATGTGCATACATTTATCACCAAGAGCTCCTCATTTGTTTTGCTTTTTCATGTTCAAAAATAAGTTTGCAGTTCTGCCTTCCTTTAAAAAATACCTTGCTGTGTCCCAAGTGTCCAAACCTGGGTTTAATTCCCAAATACACTCATGGAAATGGTTGGACACTGCCCTGCTGGACAAAAGGAGGGTCCCTGTGCCCTGAACATGCACCTAATCCAGGATGGTCAGTGGTAAAGAGGTTCTTAAAATGATGCCACTTCAATTCCAACACTCTTGAGACCCTGAATTCTAAACATCAGCAAAACTGGGACAGAAACTCGGAGCTGCTGGAGCCTGCAGCACTCACAAAGGGCCCTGCACAGCCCACAGCTGTGGCAGGGGGTCTGGAATTATCCACAGTTAGAGTCCTTGGGATTATTGCATGGATTTTGGATACAGGACCAACATTTCCTCATCCTGCAAGTGCTTGTGTGTTTGCCCATGGCAGCAGCAAGGTCGAGCCTTTTCTCCCTGTGGGGACCTGACAGCATCAGGTAATGCTCTGAAACAGGAAATGTGCTTGGGTTACAAGAGAAGCTTTCCAAATGTGGTCAAACCTTTGCCTCAGGCACCCTCACTTTGTTTCCATTCATTTTCTTTCATTTTTGTGGATGTTTCCCCCTGGTAGTGATAAGCCAGGTCTTTTTCTTCCTCCAGTTGTTGCAACCCTGTTGCTATGGCTACTTAACCCACTTTTTGTTCCTGCTGGCAGGCACCAGAAGAAAATCACTCCCCAAACTTTCCCCTGCACGGCACAACGAAATTTTCCCCAGGAATTTTGTCCTGGTGACCTGTGAAAAAGGGAGAGCTTGGAGCAGCTCCTGCCTCATGGATGCTGAATGGCAGAGCAGAGAGGGACTGATGAGTGCTGCTGAGGCAGCAGGCGAGGCTTTCAGGCTGGTGCTCCTTATTTAAAAAGGATCTTCTGGAGAGGTTTAAGTGCCTGTAAATTTTTTAAGCACAGAGGAGAAGCCAGCCCTGGATTCCTTTGAAGATGCTGCAGAAAAATATCCCTCATTCCGTAGGAGATTGAGTTGTTGGAGGGAGAGGGAGCTGAGAAGGAAGGAAAAACCCAAGAGGAGATGTTTGCATTTCATGAGCACTTTCTGTAAGAAGTTGGAGCAATCAGCGGGGACTGGCGAGAATAAGGAGTTTTTTTCCTTCAAAAGAGAAGCAAAACCAATTCCCCAAAGCGACAAATTAAATGAGATTTGGGCCTCATTTTCCAGTCATGAGGCTGTGGAGGAGTCTGAGGCCAGAGATCACAGAATGGTTTGGATTGGCATTAAAGGAACATTAAAGATCATCTTGTGCCACCTCCTGCCATGGGCAGGGACACCCTCCAGGGTGCTCCAAGCTTTGGGCATTTCCAGGGATGCAGGGGCAGCCACAGCTTCTCTGGGAAAATTTGAGACTGTAGGTGTTCACTTCCCAAACCCCACACTCAACCCCAAACTTGCTGTTCCAACACCAACCCAAGCACAGTGAGCTTTTATTCCACTTCCAATCTTGATTTAAAGATTCGAAGTCACTAAAACCCCATCTCTGATCTGTAGCTCAGCAGTTTTGATGATCAATTCACTTTACTACTAAAAAAACCATGTTCAAATTTGAATTTTTCCAGCTCAAATAACTCTTCACAACCCTCACAAGAGCTGCTCTGAGGTTCAAGCCAGGGGAAGAGGCAGGTTTGATAGTGATGAGAGCTGAAATCTCAGCTTTGGGATGCAGTGGTTTGGTTTTCACACACAGAAACGTTGTGAGCTTGCCCTGGCCAGAACTTACAAGAGTTTTGTGCCTCTTTTCTCCCTTTTGGTGCCTCCTTCCTGCCCTCCAGAAAGATTCCAGCTGAGCAAATGTGGTTTTGTCTGGGGAAAAAGCTGAGTGTGTGAGGATGTTGAGGCAGGGTGGCTCTCAGGTGACTTTTGGAGCTCAGGGATTGAGGCATGAGGGGCTCTCTCCTCCTGTTAAGGAGATTTTTTTCTCCTCTGCAGGAAGGGTTCTGAGTGATGCAGGGGATGGCAGCAGGGAGGTGACACCAGCTGGGCTGCTCCTGGCAGTGAAATTCAGCTGGATTTGTGCTGTGAATTAAAAGGACCAAAAAAAAGCCTTGCAGTTTAACCCAGGAAGAGATTTGACTTCAGTTTGTCAGGTGTTCTTTATGGTTCTGCTAACCTTGGTGGCAGGGAGCCAGAAGATTGAACTACTGCCAGGAAGAAAACAACACAAAACAAATGAAAACCAGCAATGAAATCCTTGTTTTTACCACTGAACTCTGCAAAGATGAGGGGAGAAATTGCTACAAGTCTGTTTGATGCTTTGAAGCCAGGTCACTGCTGTGTGTAGCATCTCCCATAAAGTTTAGTTCGTGTTTATGTCCAGAGGACAGAAATGGGTCAGAGATGATGATTCTGGGGTTTAGGAGATAGTTTAGGAGGGGTTTTAAAAGGCTGGGGGAAGATAGAGGGTACCACAGGCAGGGTGACAGTGCTTCAGGGAGAATAAAGGGGTTTTGGGGATGGAAATGGCACAGAGGGTGTTGTGTGAAGGAGATAAGGCCATGTTCTTACTGAGGTGAGCAGCACTGTCAGCTGGAATTTGGGATGAATTCTGATCTCTGTTGCCTGTCTCTGCTGCCCACAGTGTGCCAGATCCTCCCCAAAGGCGTGGTGGGAGTCCTGGGACCTTCCTCCAGCCCAGCCTCCAGCTCCATTATCAGCAACATCTGTGGGGAGAAAGAGGTAAGTGGAGAAGCTCCTTTGTGATGGTCAGAGTGGACAGCGTGGTTGATCACCCCTCCTCCTAATGCACAGACTTTTGAAATGTCTTCCTTTTCCCTCTGCTGCCTCTTTGTGCCTGCCTTTTCCTCTCTGCACCCCCTTTTGCTCCTCACATTCGTCACCACATCCCCACTGACTGAGGGCTGCAAACCCAAAGCTCACCCTGCTTGGCTGCCAACCCAAATCTCCCGCTGTGACTTTGTGCACATTCCTGGGGAGCTTTATGTTTACTGCTGTTCCATCAGTTCAAGCCCTTTTTTTATCTGTGTCCAGGCTATGTGCCGGATTTAATATTTTATAAGCCTCAAACCTTCCTACACCGATCTGGCTCTGCACTCTGGAGAAGAAATTGAGTTCTCTTCTCGTAGTTCATCCCTTTAAAGGCAGATAACATCTCTCAGCCATTTAGTGGCTCTCTCTGGAGCCCAGCCTTCCAACAGAGGAGGCTGGGACTGAGCACTGTAAATAATTTGCACTCACAAATGAGTGCTGGTTGTTGTTCCTGGGGGCTGGAAGGGAGGGAAGGGATCCTCCAGCCCTGAAGCACGGGGCTGCAGCAGGAGGGGTGTCCTGGGGGTGTTTCGTTGTGTTTTCTCTTGCTAAATGTCCTGGATGTGTGCTCCTTCCCAGGAAAGGTAAATGTGCAAGTGTTTTTCCTCAGAAATTCAGATTCATTCTGAATTTCTGATCTGAGGCTCCTGATTTATTTTTTTTCTTCAGAAAGGACAGGTGAGTGCTGGTGCCCTCCTGAGGTGTTTGGTTCTTTCCATGAGATGTAAACCTGTACATTTACATCCCAGGAGCATCAGCTGGGGCACGGAGCCCAGGCAGAGCCCCCTGTTCCTGCAGCCACCCCTCAGTGGGAAAGGGAGCAGTGTCCCCAGGCAAGCACCGAGCACCAGACTGATGTTCTGGGGGATGAACCTGCCTGTGTTACCCCTCTCATGCCCAAAGAATTCCTTTTTCCCTGTCCAGAAAGGGGAATTGCACTGGGGCAGAGCTCTTGGACAGGAGAGGATGGTGATGAAAGGATCTTGAGGATGAAGGCAGGGGTGAACAGGCTGTGCTCATCCCTGATGTGCTGGTGGATTCCTTCCACACAAGAATCCCTTTCCCCTGTCCAGAAAGGGGAATTGCACTGGGAAAGAGCTCTTGGAAAGGAGAGGATGGTGATGAAAGGATCCTGGGGATGAGGGCAGGGGTGAACAGTCTGTGCTCAGCCCTGATGTGTTGTGTGCATTCCTTCCACACAAAAATCCCTTTCCCCTGTCAGAAGTGGGAATTGCACTGGGGCAGAGCTCTTGGACAGGAGAGGATGGTGATGAAAGGATCCTGGGGATGAGGGCAGGGGTGAACAGTTTGTGCTCAGCCCGGATGTGCTGGTGGATTCCTTCCCCCGTGCCTGCATCTCTCTCCGGGCCCCAGGCTGGGTCTGCCTCCCTCCCAGCAGTGATCAGGATGCTGCCAGGAGCTGTCTGCTCTGGTTATGGGAATCCACCCTTCCCTCCCTGGGTGAGGGCTGCGGGCTGGAATCAAGGCAGATAGCAGCTTATTACTCCTTAACTTCCCCTCTGCTAACCAGCGGCTCCTGCTGTCAATAAAGCAGCCTTCATGAGCTGCTAATAGGCTCTCCCAGGAGGGGAGAGGTGGGAGGCAGGGGCTGATGGCTTCGGAAGGACCAATAACGGAGGCAGAGAGGACCTGACACGCTGCTAACAAAGCTGTGGCAGATGTTTCCCTTCCTCTGACTTCTGTTTCTTCCAAAATAATTCACCCGGCAGAAGAAAAACAAGATTGCCTCTCTTTATCAGGCTGAGCCTGCAGTGTCTGGGCTCGGGCTGTGTGTCTGCCCAGCCGTGCCATCCGTGGTCTGCTACAGTGTTTGCAGGGAGGAATGATGAGGAGGACTCCATCTTAGCAGGAGGCTAATTAATTACTTTATTGGTCTATACTATTACTTTATTATTTAATGAAAAATAAATAATTGCTTTAATTAATTACTTTATTCTTTAATTACTTTATTATTCTATGCTACGTTACACTATGTTACATTACATCTAAACTGAATCTGCCAAGCACTCAACTTGTCGCTATAGGACACGAAATAACACGACACAGACACGCTGCTCTTCTGAGGTGAAAAAGGCACTTTTAATTTCTGACTTTAATATTTATAGATTTCCAAAAGTGACAGTGGATTGGAGGGTGACAGTGCCACCTCTCCAATGACACTGCACAAACCAACAGTCCATCAAATTTCTCTTCTTCCATAGAAGAATGCAAAACAAGAAATTATTTACATAAAGTGTGAGAGAAAGTTCATTACAAGAATGTAAACATCAGAAGACTTAGAAAAATCTTAAAAAATCAGGGTGACATCAACTCAACTCCAACTGCACAGCATCTCATGACTGTCAGCCGACAGTCCCCACACACACACACTGATAGGCCAAGGAAACAAAACACCATCCCTCTGGGTAAACAATCTCCATACTGCATTCTACTTTGGCACAGCACAGGCACAGCAAATGAGATAAGAATTGGTTTTTTTTCTTTCACTGAGGTTCAGAGAATGTGAAACCCAGCAATATTCTTGGGAAGAACTGTGTCTTGCTTTTCTCTGTGAAGAGAAATGTGGCTATAGTCTGCAGGATGTGCAGCAGAGCTCCCTCCGAGCGGGTGTTGTGGCTCCCCAGCTCCCAAAATTCCCCCTGGAGCACATCCTGCTCCAGCTGCTGCTCTGCTGCATCCATGACAAGCCCAGCACTGGTGTTTCCAGCCCTCCTGTTGGTCAGAAATGCCCAAAGCTTCTGGCTGCTGCAGCTGTTCCTCCTCTGCCCAGCCTCGCCAGCGCGGGGTCATCTTGTTCTTGCCTTCATCTCTGCTAATTAATTACCTGGTGGCACCTCCATGCAGCAGGCAGGGCTGGGTTCAGGGCCCTGGATGATCCCTGTGTCCCTGCAAGGCATCCTTCCCCAATGAAGGCTGGGCCCAGCCACAATTAGTGCCCCAGCTAATTAGGTTGAACTCTCAGGGAAGGTTTCCTGTGCTGTAATCACAGTCCCCGATGCCTTTCTCTGAGTGGCTCAGCAAGACTCTTCCTGCTTCACTCCTTCCCATGGCTTTTGGTTGCTGTGATAATTATTTTCCTCTGCTGCTGCACGAGTCCCACCCTCCCCTCTTGACTCCAGTGCTGCTTCTGCAATTTTATTGGGATATTCCACTTTCTGCCTGCTGTGTGCTTCACACCACAGGCCCTTCACCGCAGATTTACTTGTTTTCATTTCTACTTCCTCTTTAATTATATTTTCTTTCCTCCTCCCCACGCTCAGGTTCCTCACTTCAAAGTGGCTCCAGAGGAGTTCCTGAAGCTGCAGCTCCAGAGGTTCACCACTCTCAACCTGCACCCCAGCAACACCGACATCAGCGTGGCCGTGGCAGGAATCCTGAATTTCTTTAACTGCACCACTGCCTGCCTCATCTGTGCCAAAGCTGAATGTAAGTCTTTGCCAGGCTGGCTTTTCCTGCCCCTCTGCCTCATCTCCTCTTTGTTTGGTGCTTGCTGGGAAGGTCCCATCTCCTCGTGTCTCCTCTCAGAGCAGCCTTTTACACTCCAGTTTCTCCACCCTGGTGCCCCATGGAGAAGTTTTGCAGAAGTGGAATGGCATGGGTAGAGATTATCCTGCTTTCTGTTTGACCATCTGAAGAGCGTTTTGCTTCCACAGATGGGGCTTTGGATAAGAAAAAAAAAAAAAAAGAAAGGCGTAGGCCTGTTTCTGGAGATTATTTTTAGGCAAGTAAAGCACTTTGAAATGTGGCTTGCCCAAAGCCACGTGCAGTTTGTAGCCTAAAAGTGGGATTTGAGTAAAAGTCAGCACAGTGCATGCCCTGCTGGCTCTGCAGCCGTGCATCTGCTGGTGACTGTGCATCTGGACAGTGGACATTCCACCTGAGCAGGGCCAGATCCACCCTCAGCAGGGCCATATCTATCTCTGTAGGGCCATCTCCACCTCGGCAGGGCCATCTCTCTCTCTGTAGGGCCATCTCCACCTGAGCAGGGCCATAACCACCCTCAGCAGGGCCATATCTGTCTCTGTAGGGCCATCTCCAAGACTCAGCAGGGCCATCTTCACCCTCAGCAGGGCCAGATCCACGCTCAGCAGGGCCATCTCCACCTTGGCGGGGCCATCACCACCTCAGCAGGGCCAGATCCGCCTCAGCAGGGCCATCTCCCCCTCGGCAGGGCCATCTCTCTCTCTGTAGGGCCATCTCCCCCTCGGCAGGGCCATCTCTCTCTCTGTAGGGCCATCTCCCCCTCGGCAGGGCCATCTCTCTCTCTGTAGGGCCATCTCCCCCTCGGCAGGGCCATCTCTCTCTCTGTAGGGCCATCTCCCCCTCGGCAGGGCCATCTCTCTCTCTGTAGGGCCATCTCCCCCTCGGCAGGGCCATCTCTCTCTCTGTAGGGCCATCTCCCCCTCGGCAGGGCCATCTCTCTCTCTGTAGGGCCATCTCCCCCTCGGCAGGGCCATCTCTCTCTCTGTAGGGCCATCTCCACCTCGGCAGGGCCATCACCACCTCAGCAGGGCCAGATCCATCTCAGCACGGCCAGATCCACCTCAGCAGGGCCATCTCCAGCTCAGCAGGGCCATCTCCAGCTCAGCAGGGCCATCTCCAGCTCAGCAGGGCCATCTCCACCCTCAGCAGGGCCAGATCCACCTCAGCAGGGCCATCTCCACCGTCAGCAGGTCAGATCCATCTCAGCAGGGCCATCTCCACCCTCAGCAGGGCCATCTCCACCTTGGCAGGGCCATCTCCACCTCGGCAGGGCCGTCACTACCTCGGCAGGGCCAGATCCATCTCAGCAGGGCCAGCTCCACCCTCAGCAGGGCCATCTCCATCCCTACAGAGCTCCTGCTGTGGCAGGAGCAGGCTCTACACCCCAGAGCAAAGTGTGTCCTATGCTTTCTGAGGTCACCTGCAGCAGATTTGAGGTGGCCACAGCAGCTCTAGCACACAGCCAGCTGCAGCATGGAAAAGGGGATTTGGAAAGGCCCCTGGGTGCAGGGACAGCTTTGGGAATGTGTCACTCTAGAAAGAAAGAAAACGACGCACGTTGGAACCTCCAAGGTAAAAAGAAGGGAAGTTTATTTTCTGACTCCAGCATTTATAGATTTTTCAAAAGTGACAGTGGATTGGAGGGTGACAGTGCCACCTCTCCAATGACACTGGACAAACCAACAGTCCATCACATTTCTCCTCCTCCAGAAAAGAATGCAGAACAATAATTATTTACATAAAGTGTGAAAGAAAATTCATTACAAGAATGTAAACATCAGAAGGCTTAGAAGAACTTAAAAGAACAAGGTGACAGGAATGCTGCTCTCTGACTGGGCCAGCACCATTCCCATCTAGCCCTGGGCAAACTCCCCAGCAGCAGCTGATGGAAGATTCCTGCACAGGGACCCAAGGAACTGGAGTGTTTTTAGCTCTCCTTTGTGCTTTCTGTGCCCCCAGGGCAGCAGGCTGAGGTCGGGCAGTAAATCACCATCAGTGAGCAGTGCTCACATCCACCCCAGGAAAGGCCCTGGCTCAAAATGATGCAATTAAAATCATGCAAATGGTCTCCCACATCACTCCCAGAGCTGGAATTTTTCATTGTCTAACCTTAACCTTAAGCAAGAAGGGAAGCAAAGATAATTAGGTTTTCTCAGCTGCCGTGCAGGAGGCTCAGGGCTCTGCACCCCTGCCCTGCTCCTGGGCCAGGTGTCTCCCACCGGGGTTAATATGATTAATATGATTTTTATTTAGCTGGATCAAACCCTCTTACCTGAAGCAATCCAATTTATTTCGCTCTGCTGCTGCTGCTGGATAACTCAATATTTAGGATGTGCTGAGTCCTTCCCAGACCCGGGGAAGCAGTGGGACAGGAGCCTTTCATCCTCCCAGCTCTTTGTGCTCAGCAAGGACCTGATCAGAGCCAGGCTTGAAGCCCAACATGCCCTGACTGTAACAGAGCCCAGTCAAGGCTTAATTGAGCTTCATGTAGGAGCACAAACCCTGATTTTCCCTTAGGACATGCACTGCTCCTAAGCACAGTCCTTAAACAACTAACTGGAGGCATTTCAGGCTTTTGGAAGGTTCCCTTGAGGCAGCTGAGGGGAGCATAAGAGCTGCCTGCTCATCAGTGAGGAAATGCTGTTTTGAGGGATGTTATTATTTAGATCCCAGGAGGGGCAAGCTGGAGCTGCTTTGGTTTAAGTGGGAGGCTGTGTGATGGGACCCCTGGGCCCAACCCTGCCACACTCATCCTGTCACATCCTTCCTCTGGGGACTGCCTGTGATTTCTCCTGGCAGAAGCAGAGAATGACCCTTAAAGTCAAAGAACTTGGGCCAGCCTAAGTGTAATGCCCTGGGGAATGTAAAATGTAATGCCATGAATAGAATGAGATTTGTGTGACTCGGTTTGGTGGATAGAATGCTCAGTTGCTCTGTGATGTTTAAGAATTAGCTGGTTTGGGAGCTGCTCTGGAAGGTTTTGTGTGGTTCCAGAGAAATCTTAACCCAGAAAGGCAAATAGAGGAGTGCATGGACTTTTTAGGAGCTTCTCTGTTTGCCAGAGGGGAGGGAATAACACCCAGTGCTTGGGAAGGGTGACCAGGGCACAGAGGGGTCCAAGGCCTTGTGCACATCCTTGGTTCTTTTTTAAAACATTGTTGTTAAAAATGCAAACACCCAGGGAGATGTTTGAAGCACCAGTGTTGGGATTAAAAGCGAGGCTGGATGATGGGAATGTTCTCTTCCCAACCATCCATGTCCAGGAGTGGAACCACCAGCAGCCCTGAAGCTCCTCCATCAGCAGGAGCACTAAACAGGGATGTGGCACTCCAGGAGAGCCCCAGCTCCTGCCTTTCCTCATTCCTACGAGCAGCTCTGCTGCTGAGAGCTCGGGAGTGGGGCTGCTCCTGCCAGCTCCGGATGTTTGCACAAGGAAAAATCAAATAATCAAGGTCAGGACTTGCCACAGGCCAGCCTGAACCTCTCTCAGAGCTCCCCATGGGAGTGTTCAAGCAGCAGGTGCCTGGTGCAGCCTCTCTGTCCTCACTTTGGTACTTCAAAGGTGCCTGGAGGAGTCTGCAAGCCTTTGCTGGGGTTCACATCCCTCTGAAGTGCCAGTCTGGCAGCAGCAGCAGCAGCAAGAGTCTCACATCCTCTCAGCATCAAACAAAGGGGAATCTCTGCACAATAGAGACTTCCCTGCACACAGCAAGAGCAGCTGCAAGCAGGAGGCTGGATGAGGCTACAGGTAGGATCTAACGTGCTGGAAATGATAATTTCCTCGAGCTGAAGGTGGAGATGAAATGATTTTTTTTTTTTCCTCCTGGTTCCACTTCTTCCTCTCTGTGCCTGATGAGCTTTAGAAACATTTTCCTGGGTTTGAGAGCTGCAGAGTTCGCTGGGATGAGCTGCAAGTAAACTTGGTAGTGTAGGGCTGTGATTTGCAGCAGCCTCTCTGGTCCCCTGCAAATGTGGAATGAGGGGAAAATAAACCTTTCTACATCCTCAGGGGTCAAATGGAGGACTTATGTAAAATTCACTGTTTGCCTGGGTTAGAAGACAAAAGAAGTGTTCAAGTGAGGTCCTTGTGTGCTGTAAGCAGAGTGAGTTCTCTGCCTGGTGAGGAAGAAGAAGAGGCTGATGTGACCCAGAAACGTCCTGGCACAGCTGTTTTTATAACTCCTTGCTGTGTTCCTACCTGTACCCAGAGAAAAGGGGAGAGGCAAGGGCATTGTCAGGAGCTCAGAGCAAACTCAGAGTGCTTTAAACCTTTCCCTGGGAACGAGAGGCTCCTCATCTTGGATGTGTCCCTTTTCCTGCACTGCTTTGTCACCTGGTGAAGTGCTGGCAGTCCTTGAGAGCAGAGCTCCAGCACTGATCCCACCCCGCTGTGACCCTTCCCTGCCTCCTGACCTGCTGGGGAATGAATGGATTCATGCAGTCAAAAATAAGTCAGGTTAAGAGTAAAACTCTGACTTGAGGGTTAATTTGCCTCTCTGCCAGCTGGGCTGTGATCCTGCTGATAGTTCTGTTTCTCCAGCTCAGGTCTCCCCCCTCTTTTGGGGCTGTCTTCCTGAGGGGATGGGATGTGTGGCTATGCTGTCTGTGTCTTGCTGATGAATCCATCTGCTGGTTCCTCTGGTCAATCAAACTTGGCAGGAGGTTATTTCTTCATGAAACTCAGCAGCTGGAGACAAGAGAGGCTCTATCAAAGCTGCTTTCTTGACTAACAAAATCTGCAGCAGGAGTTTTGACATCTTATTAGGCTTCAAGGCAGCTGTTGGAAGGAGCCCTTGACGTGCCCATCCTTATTTTTGTCACAATTTTTTAATGTTGTATTTTTGCAGTGACCTCCAGCTCTCAGCAGAGCTTCTCATCCCCTTGGAAGAGAGCAGCTACCCATCAGAATGCTCCAAGAGCTCCAAAAAAGCTGCACCTTCCTGAGCACTTAATTTGGGAGCTGGAAATGCAAAGGGTGAGGGGGAGGAATAATCCTCCAGTAAGCAGAACAATCCCACATGCAGGGAGATAATGGAGACCTTGTCTGGACCTTGTATTGAAGGTCTTATCTCTTCCCAAGATGAGTCTGGGGATGCTTTATTTTCCTGGAGAAGAGCTGGAGTAGCTCCATCACTTCTCCTTCCCTGCTGGACCAAGCAATGAGTCCTAAATCCTTTCCACTTTATTTTTTTTTTTTTCCCTAGGGTGCAGATGGAATAGCTCCATTTTTTCTCATTCCCTGCTGGACCTAGAATTGGGCCCCAAGTCCTTTCCTTTCCTCTCCCTTTTTCTAGGGAATAGCTGGAATAGCTGGAATAACTGGAAAAATAATAACTCCATCATTTTTCATTCCCTGCTGGACCAAGCACTGAATCTTTTCCTTTGCAGTGCCCAGACCCAGAACTTCAGGAACGCATCCTGCCATGGATCACCATGTTCCATGGGAGAACCAAGCCTCAAATTCAAAGGGATCTGTCCTTTTTCTCTCTTTCCTCCAAAGGCCTTTTGAACCTGGAGAAGCTGCTGCGGCAGTTCCTCATCTCCAAGGACACGCTGTCGGTGCGGATGCTGGATGACAGCCGGGATCCCACCCCGCTCCTGAAGGAGATCCGAGATGACAAGACAGCCACCATCATCGTCCATGCCAACGCCTCCATGTCCCACACCATCCTGCAGAAGGTGAGATTCACAGGGAGCAGCAGGCACGACTTGCCCAAGGATTTCTCCTGGGAAAGGCAGTGAGAAAGCTCAGAGACAAAGAGAAAGCAATTCTTATCTCACTTGCTGCTCCTGTTGTTTGGCACATGAGGAATGTGTTATGGAGATTGTTTACCAAAAGCTATTTGTTAATTGGACTCTGGTGATGGTTATTTATATTGATTGACCAGTTAGTCAAAGCTGTGTCATGACACAGTCGGAGAAAGTCACAGGTTTTTCTTTAGTATCTTTTTAGTATAATATAGTTCTAGTGTAGTTTTAATATAGTGTAATATAGTATAATACAGGCATCAATTGAAATGTGAAAATTCCCACAGCAGTGCTGGGAATGGGCTCTGCCCAGAGGGGAATTGCCACTGATGGAATTTCCAGGGCTGGATCTGTGCAAGTGATGGTTGAATTGCTCTGAGGGGATTTGTTTGCTCTCTACAAATGGTGTTTCCATCCAGGAGCTGTGAAGGACTGCTCAGCTCTCTGAAATTACTCTTGTGCTTCCTTTTTCCCTTCCCATTATGTGTCTAACTTTTTCATTATTTTTCTTTTTATTGTCTTATTAACGGAGATTTTATTTTAATCCTGTTTATTTTTAAATGGTCTCTGGCTGCAGTTTCTAGCACTTGTTTTGATAGCCTGCTTCAAAACTGAGCAGTGGCTCCAGATGGAGCAGAGTTTCCCACATCCTGGAGGGAACAAGAAGCACATTCCTGAAGGGAGTCAAGATCCAAGCACTGGGATCCCCCTGGCTTTCCACACTGTCCTGCCTGTTTTGTCACAGAACGTGTCATCCAAAGGCCTTGCCTGTGTCAGGTTAACCTCAATGACATCCAGCAGGGATGTTTTTATCAGTCCTCTTTCCCCCCAAAATATTTCTATTCCACTACATGCAGTTTTCATTTCTAAATAGACAGTTTGGGGGATTTTTTGGGGTTGTCTACTCAGGGGGGTTGATTTGGTGTGTTTTTTCCCCTTTTTCCCCTGTTGCTGCCTGGCTGCTGAGGGCTGTCCCCCTCCTCTGTTGCTATAGTGACTTCCCACAGGCTCCCAGAAGCTCTCTCCAGGCACCCACATCTCCCTGCCCAGCTCCAGCCTCCTTCTGCCACCCCTGAGAAATGTCAGAAATTGCCAGCATTTCCCAGTCAAACCCCATTCTTCCAGCTAGAGGACTGTAGGAATGGAGGGTAATAAATCAAGAGCTCCTGGTCTGACAACTTCTTGCACCTTGGGAGGCTGGGAGGTGTTTTATTGGGAGCCAGGGATGGTGGTGCTGAGCATCAGGTGAACCCACATCCTGTCCCACAGCAGGAAATCGCTCTGAGGGTTTGCTGGGTCTGTCCCAGGAGAGCAGGAATTCACAGTTTCTCATCCCTCACCCTCCACAGATGGGCTGGAGACACATGGATGGTTCCCAGATTCCCAGCTCCCAGCTGCCAGGGCTGGGTGAATGGATGGGAGAGGCACTGCTTTGCTGCTCACCTTGATTTTCTACCCTTGAAACCAAACACCCTGACCTCAAAGTGGGTGACAGGGAGAGCTGGCATTGTCACTGTCTCCAGGAAGGGATGAGCAGGGGGAATTGGTGCTAAGTTTTGCTGTGGAGGGGGTGAAAAATGAGGTGGCCTCCTCTGGGTTTGGGGACTCCTTGGAGCAATGGCTTTGCTGTGTCTGTTGTGCCACCTGGGCGAGGGACAGGGTGACAATGTGCAGCCTAGGGGCTGGGCACAGCAGTGCTGGTGGCCTCAGGTTTGCACAGGAGCATCTAAAACACAGGAAAAGGGAGAGGTGCAATCCCAGCTGCCTCCTTCTGTCTTTCCTTCCTTCCTTTCTGTCATCACAGCTTCTGGGAGGGATAAAAAGGGACTCACACCAGGAGGTGCTGCCTTTGCTCCTTCCCTCCTTGCCTCCCATTCCTCTGTGTGGTCTGGACTGCTGGGAAAACCTCTTAGCCAGGGTCTGGAAGCTTGATTTGAGAGCAGCTGTGCTTGGCAGTGGAACAGAGGCTTCCAGGAGCATCTGCAGATTAATGCCCCACTTTCCTGAGCATCTGTTCCCACAACCAGCTCCTTGTGTAGTGAGAATTTTGGGAAAGGGCCTCAGTTATCCGCTCTGTGATCTCTAGAACAGATCATCCCCATGGAAAATTCTGTGTCCTTCTCTCTGCATCCCTGGACAGTTTTGCCCTGTTTTCTTCTATTTCTGTGGCCAGCACAGCCCTGTCTCAGTTCTGAAGAGCAGAGCTGAGTTACTGGGTCTCATCCATGCTCATTAATTTGTGGGATTTGAGCCCAAATCCGACTGATAAAACTGGAAAGCCACCAGTGGCTTGATTGTCCTTTTCCTGTAACTCCCAAGAGCTTTTCCTGCCTTCCTCTCTCCGTCATGGTGTTTGTGGTGGAAGGGACAAGCCTGGAGCTCTCAGCTGCTCTTTTCCCTCATTATGTCCCAAAACAGGAGCAAAGCAGCATCCACACACAAAATAAGCAGAAATCCTCATTTTCCTTTTAAAACATAGTGGAATTCCTCATCCCAAGGGGTTCTGGAATTCTCAGAACTGGGGCTGCAGGACCCACCTCACTTTTCCAAGCCATTGTGGACCATTGGGGTCTGTTAGGGGTTCAAAAGATTTTCTGCTGGGAGTTCAAAAGCTTTCCACAGGTGATTTCCTTAAGAGTTTGTCCTTGGATGGATGCAGGAACCCCTGAATTCCATCTCAGAATGCCATGGAGAGGGCAGGGATGCTCCCAGGGGTCTGGAGCTGGGTCATTTCCCTCTGTGCAGGTGCTTTGTCAGGGCTGGTGTGGGCAGGAGACCTCAGCTAGGCTCAGCCCTGCTAAAAAATTGCTTCCCCAGACTTTAATTTCCCAGGTCTGACCATGCTGCTGTGTCCCACTCTCCCTTCCTGCAAGGAGAGATAAGCTTGAAAAAGCAAAATGTGGCCCTGGCTCTGCTTTGCCGGGGTGGAGATTGGAGATTGTCAGGCTCTGGTTTAATCTCTTTTTCCTCTCCTTCACAGGCAGCTGAACTGGGGATGGCATCTGCCTATTACACCTATATCTTCACTAATCTGGTAAGGAGTTTTTCCCAGCTTTTCCTGCCTGAGTGTGGAGTCATTTTAATGGGAGCTGATCCCCCTGACCCGTGGGATCCTTGGGCAGAGCCTCGTGTGTTGGGGAGGGAGGGAGGCAGGGATGTCACCTGCTGCCTAGAATCAAAAGGCAAAATCTTTCCAAATAATATCAAAAATAATATTCCCAAAAGCAGTTCTGTAACAAAAGCTTTCTGTGCACACATGGTGTCGGATTTCTACAATTTTTATCAGGTTAATTAATTAGTTCATCTAACAGGTACATCCAACAAGAGACCAGTTGCCCCAGCAACCAACCCTTGGGCCTGCCCCTTGGAGTTGTTCTGTGTCTTGTTACATCTCTTAAATTCTGGTGCAAAACAAGATGTCCTCGTTAGAAATTCCTGTTGTTAAAATCAGACTAACCAGAATTTCAAGAATGTGTTAGGAAGGGTTGGCTTATTGTTCTAAAACGTGAGAAAGGGCAGGAAAATCACTAGAAATTTTACAACTACATATTAAAAAGCTACGATGCTACAAATAGATGAAAAATATATAAAAAGCTGAAAAAAATCTTCAGGCATCATTCCTGCAAAGCTGGGAAGGTCTTGGGGAGGTGGAAAACGATTGGTGCAGCATCCACAGGCAGGAATTGTGGACACTGTGACAGGAGCTGGTGCAATGACATGTGCAGGACTTTGGGAAGCTCCAGAAAATGGGTGGATCTGTATTGTCCTGGTTGTCCTGGTTTTCCTGATTTTCCTGATTTTTTTTGGGTTATGCTGGTGTTGTCACCCCCCTGAGCCCATTCCCTGTGTTGGAAAAAACCAGGGATGAGCACCTGGAAGGCATCACAGCCCCGCGCCCTGAGACAAAGGAAGGATGATCCCATAAATGTTGAGAGCAGGGGATGCCCTCCTTAATTAATGACATTAATGGGATCACGGTGTGGTTAAACCCCTCAGGGGGTGATGGGCTGAGGCAGCAGATGGGGAAACCCAAAATAAACATCAGAGGAACTTCTCCTCCAAGGGGGTGTCACCAGGAGCTGTGAGTGCTGCTGTGGGGCTGCTGGAAACCTGGGGGGTGAAGTGGAGGTGCCTCCCAGCCCGAGTGATTCTCCTATTCTCTAATTTCTATTAATGTTTCTGGCAGGGAAGCCGAGAGCTGAATCACACTTTGTGTTTGGGTGGGAGACAGACGGGAAGGGACGGAGCCAAACGTGTGGGCAGGGAGCTGGAGAGGAGAGGAGCAGGGGAAGGAGGGAAATGGAGGGGTGGCAGCAGTTGGGGCACAGGGTGGAGAAGGGATCAGGGGAAGGAGTGTCAGAGGGAGAAACTCAAGGAGTAGAAAAGGCCATGAAGCTCCTGGCTGGGTTTCTTCTCAGTGTCCAATCCATGGGTCAGTCCAGCCAGAAAAACTTCACTGGGGCTGTTCATCCCCTTGGAACGGGCAGCACAGGCACAGGGAGGGAGCCTGGGGGTTGTGCTGTGTGCCCCAAGTCACGGTGTCACTCTGCTGGCTGGGGGACAGTGCCATCCCCACCAGATCTGCCCACAATGCCAATCCCAGCCATTCCCACTCCCAGGAAGTATTTCCATTGTTCCCAACAGCTCTTCCTGTCCCACTTGCCCTCCCCAGCCCATTCCCAGTCCTACAGAGCGGGGCTGGGCACACAGTGAGGGATTTCCACCTCACATCACCAGCAGAATCTGCAAAAAAAAAAAAAAAAAAGTCTTCTTTTTAGAGTTGTTTCTCTTGTCTGAGCAGCATCTCATGGATGCTGCTCTAAAAATGAAGCTCCCACCTCCACCCCCACCCCAGTCCTGAGCACGGGTGTGATTAAGCATTTGCTGGAGGTGAAATTTGCCTTTCTAACCCATTCATCTCGTGGAATGCAGCTATGGCAGGTGAGAAAGAAATGAGTTTTGTTGCCATTCACTCTCTCAGGGTATTAATCTGTTTATCCAGGTTATTTTACCACTCAGTCCAAAAGCCCAGCTCTTAGCAGAACTAACAGGATTTTTGGCAGGGATCATTATGGGAAGATGACATCAGACAAAACCTGGGCAGATGGAAGAGATGTTTAAGGAAATTAGTAATATTTAAATGGGGATTGGAGATGGGAGTGAGCAATTTAGGCTCATAAATCTGGAGGGATTATCAAGCTCCTAATGAACCCTCTGAGGTTCTGCAATCACTGCCTAATAGAAAAGATAAAATCAGAGTGAACTACTGTCAAGGGGAGCAAGCAAAAAGATGGCTTAAATGGAGAGAGAACCCATCAGGAAAGGGAATAGAGAGCCTGCAGAGCACTGAGCTGCTCGGAGATGGAAAAATATCTCAGGCAAAATACAAAAAAAGAGGAGAAAATAGGATAAAATGCTGAATTAAACACCTGCCCTGCAGCTCTAGAGGGGAGTTCTGTTTCTGTCTTTTAGCATTAATTTTATTTAATAAGCACATCCCAGCTGACAGCTCGTGGTGTGGTGCAGCTCTGCTCTCTCTGGGTGCGAGAGGAGGGAATTCTCTGTGTGCTGGGGCACAGGAGGGGATTTTTGGGGGTGATGGCCCCTCTGTCCCAGCCCGGTGGCCCCTCTGGTCACAGCAGATCACTGGAGCAGATGAGGAGGAACCCTCAGCCCCCAACACATTTCTGTGGGAGCTGAGGCGAGCAGCCCGATGTAAAAACATCCACAGGCTCCTTTCCTGCGTGCAAATTCATTATCAGCCTCCTTCAGCCAGCTCCAGGGACCTGTTTTTGTCAGCAGCAGCAGCAGCCTGGCAAATTTTCCAGGAGTCCTAATGGAACTCTCAGGTCTGGTGCATTTGTCTTCCCCACATCCTTCATTTGGGGCACTCCTGGCCTCCATCCCCTGGCAGAAAAATCCCCATCCAACCCAATTTTCTTCCTGGCATCTCCACCTGGTGATGATTCCCATGCTCTGGGACTTTTGGGAGGGATGGAATTCCCTGAAGAGGTGCTGGGATGATTTCAGAGCTCATCATCCCTTCCCTTCTCCCTGGCAGGGCTGGCTGGGTCTCGACAGAGCTCACGGCCATGTGAGGGGGCAATGATGTGCAGAATAATAATAATAATAAATAATAATAATAATAATAATAATAGTAATGCACAAATAGACCATTGAAAGCAGACTGCTGTGCATTGAAGAAAATGTTTCTTCCAGCACTGGAAATCCCTGAAATCAGCAGCACAGAGTAGGAGGGGTGTTGGATGCCTCCAAAACCCCACGCTACAATTAATTCTTTTAGCTTGTTAATTCTGTGTAGCTATTGGGTTTTGTCTTTTTTTTTTTTTTTTTTCCCCTCTCTCTGTCTGGTTTGTTGTTCTGTTTTTTGGTTTTGTTTTCTTTAATAACATCCGGACCTCAGGCTGGGTTTAAATTTCAAAATATTTGACAATTAGATGGGAATAATTGAAACAATTAAAATTATTACTCTGAGGGGGGAAGGTGTAAAGGAGCTTTCCCAGTGCCTCAAGTCAGGCAGGGCAATTCACTGGGTGCAGTTTTGTTCCCTGACACAATTGTGTGCAGGTGTTGCTGCTGATAAAGCAGCTGCCGTGTTCAACTCCCACAGCCCAGATAAATCAGCTCAGGTTTGGGGTTTTTTGTCTTGTTTCCTGCTTTCTCTTCTTTGTTTGGTGATTTATAAAGAGGTCTTCATACAGGACAAGGTTTTTGAGCTGAATTGTCAGCCTGGAAGTGGAGCTGGAGGGGAAATTGGTGTCCCAATCCCCCAGAGAGTGTGACACATTTCTGCTGTAGCTTGTCAGCAGGGTGACATCCCTTGGAAGGAAGGGATGATGTCAAACCAAGCAGAGGGACAGGGAGTTACAGACGAGGCTTTGACCAGGGCTTAGGTTTTGTGAAATTGCCTTTTTGTGGTGAAATAATCTTATTTTTCTCCGTGAGCTCCAGCACAGGCCGTGGTGCTTGGCCTTTGAGCTGCCAGGGGCAGATTTGGGCACTCCTGGCCTTCATCCCCTGGCAAAAAATCCCCATCCAACCCCATTTTCTCCCTTGCCCTGGTGAGGAAGGCAGGATCTCTCGTTGCCCTGTGACAGATTTCCCCTCCCAGCCCAGCCAGCCCTCCTGATTCCCAGCAGCTGATGCGAAGTGTTCTGGAGAGCCCCGATCACTGCCAGGATTTATGGATCATATTTTCAGTGGCATGTGCTAGCAGGGCAAACAAATCAGGTTTTTGCAAGGCTGCCAAGGCAATTTCTCCTCGTTCTAGTTAGCATGAGGGAAGGAGGGTTTAGACAAAGCAGTGGCTGTGCCTCCCTGCCTTTTGCTGCCTCAGTCTTCTTTACTTTCTGACTTTGTGTGCTTGATTCCCAATTTTTGTGTAAATCATTCTCTCAGCTACACCCCAACCCCCTGGAAACTCTTGGAAAAAAAGAGGTGGGAAGGAGGGAAAATCTCTCTCTTTCCCTACTTCCCACCCCTTTTTTTCCAAGAGCTGTCTTTTTTCAGGTCCCAACATTCAGCACTTGACTCTTTGTGGATTTGTCTCTCTCCAAATCCCCCTGCAGAGAAGTTGAAGTTTGGGCAGTGTATTTTCCTAAAAGTGCTCTTGTTTGAAGAACAGCCTCCAAAATTTACCAGCTGGCCTTGCATGAGGAGGTTCAAGACCTGTAAGGCACATCAGTGGTTTTTTTGGAAGAGAAATCCAATTACAGATATAAATATATTCCCCTAAATTGTCCCTGAGCTCACTGAGGTCACAGCTTCTCTCTCCCCACCTGAGTGACCAGCTAGCATTGCCTTGAGTAGATCTACCCATCCACTTACCTACACAAATTGTTGCTGTGATGACTTTTTTCCACTTTTTTCCCCTCCTAGAGAAATTGATTTTTACATGTGGCCCATTAGAAACGTATTGACTCTGTTGATAGTTTATAAATAAATGGAGCCTTTCAGGAAAACCGTGGAAAGCACTTTACATAATATTGTCCACTTGAGTAAACAAATAAATGT